TTTCCTACACAATACATACGTTGTAGTAAAAATAGTATCTTAATTTTATGATGGTATGCACACACACATAATACAGAAGAGAAATATCAATAAGAGAATAATATACTGTATCAGGTAAAAGAAAAATCAAGGTTTAACACTTACGTTAGTAGAAGAGATGGGTTGGCATACGGGGATGGGGGCTGGTTCCGAGGCAGAGGGCAGATTAGTGGCCCTCAGGTGAATCACTATCACTCTCCACCACAGATGTCAGGGCCTCCCTGACAAACCCCTCAAAGTCACCATCACTGTCACTATCACTGACTTGGGCTGGCTGTGGTGGGTTGCAGGCGAAGAAGTCGGTGATGTTACGCTGACGGCTAGCGTTGATGTGGTCGTAATACATCTTGATATACGGCTCCACAGTTTGGTCTAGATGGTTATTGGAGACTTCATATCGGTGACTGAGAGGGTCTTTGGAAAGGATGAGCTTGAATTTCGGCAAACTCGATGGCATCCTTTATATCACATGTGTTAACTTCTGTTCTGGTACTGCGGCACCACCTGCCTCCTCACTGACGTCATCGTTTTCCAACATATCGTCGGCAATCACCTCAGGATCCCTGATTACTTCCATGATGTCGTCGTTGGTGGTCTCGGAGAAGCGTGCAGCTGTAGCACTCTGTGCAGCTTCTCTTGCAAGGTCCACTGCCACTGCAACAGACTGAGCCTCTCCAGCCACAGGTTGACTCTGCCTCCCACCTGGGATACCCTGCAACACATGCCATCACGCGTGGCGAATCGTTGCCACAGACAGCTGCCCCCATGCCTCCACCAAGAAATCAACAGCTTCCTTTACGTTAAACATTTTCCAAAACTGTTTAACTCGCACTTCATGCTCCGCCAACTCTTCTTCTGGATCCTCGTCCTCGCTCTCGCTATCTGTGCCACTCAGAAGGTTCCACAACTCATCCTTGGTGTTGGTGTAGTAGTTTAGGAGTTTAAACTTCTTTGTGGAGAATGCAGCCTTAACGTTGCATATCAACTCCTGGTCCATGGGCTGGATTAACGATGTAGTGTTGGGAGGAAGGCAGACCACTTTTACACTGGGGTGACGATCCAACAGTATGGGCGAGTGTTCTGGTGCGTTGTCAAGGAGCAACAAAATGTTAAATGGAACATTATGTTGCTCGCAGAATTTCTTAACGTCGGGAACGAAACAGTCGTCAAACCAGGAGAGGGACAGACCGGTGAACATCCACGCCTTAAATGCAGTTAACCAGTGGACATTTAGCTTGGTCATGTCCATGTTCTTGTAGGCGTGCGGCTTGCGGGCTGTGTGGATCACCAACAACTTGAGCTTACAGGTGCCGGAGGCATTGGTGGTAAACAAGATGGTGATGCGCTCCTTCTGCAACTTCCGGCCCCGACACTTGCTGGCAGACTTGACAACAAAGGTCTTGGAAGGTAATTTTTTCCAAAACAGCCCGGATTCATCCATGTTGAACACCTGGTCGTTGGTGTACTGTCCTTCCTCCATAATGTCTCATAAGAATGGAGGAAAATCCATGGCGGCAGCACGGTCAGCACTGGCTGCTTCACCAACAATGTTAATGTTGGTTATCTTGTTGCGTTTCTTAAACCCTTGCAACCACCCAGAGGAAGCAGTGAAGGGTTTGGGCTCTGCAATTCCCATCTTGCGCGCCACTGATTCGTAGAATTCACGGGAGTAGTCCTGCACTGCCTGTGTGTCGACCGCCATGTTAAGTCTTGCCTGACGAATCAAGTAGCTCACCAGTAAATTCTCAGTCTTGAGCAGCACTTTATTCTGACAATACTTCACCATTGAAGCACCTGCAGACTTTGTGATGCTCATGTGTTCTTTTATCTTGGCAGCATCCTTCTTGATTGTACGAATCATAGATTCGTTAACTCCATGCTGGCACGCAAGATCAACTTGTCGGGTTCCCTTTTCTAAGTCCTGGACGATTTTGTATTTTACTTCGTATCTTAGGGCGCGTCGTATCTTCTTGGGTTTGGGGCGGCTTGGTCCAGGTAATTCAAGGTTTTTCTAGGGTGGTGGGGGTCTAGTGGAAGCCATTGTTGAACAGATTAGCGGCCACAAGAGAGTACAGTATACGCGGAGACTGAGAACAATAAAACTGGCCCGGCTAGGTCAGTGGCTTCTTCCCTCCCGTGGCTGGGCACGTCATATTACATTAGACCAATCACAGCTAGCGGCAGAGGGAGGTAAGGATGCGTGACCCAATCACAGTCCGATACGTCATATGACGTCAGCGATAACGCAACAGCGACATACTGCGCACCCTCCCCGCGCTACTTCCCGCGTATGGTCAAGAATGGACCGCGTGAATCATAATTGGCGCGGCGCATCTGGATCTCTCGCCGCGTAAATGATGCAATGAACCGCGTAATTAAAAATTTTCACTCTGGCAAGGAGCCGCGTAAATGACCAAACGCGTAAACCAAACTCGCGTAAATCAAGATTGCTGTACTGTATATTGTTTCTCACTTTTGATCTTTTTTTTCATTTTTGTATTTATGGTTCTTTATTATTATTATTATTATTATTATTATTATTATTATTATTATTATTATTATTATTACTACTACTACTAGTACTACTACAGAGTTATTATTATTATTATTATTATTACAGTAGTACCCTGCGTTAGCGGTCAATAAAACCCACAGGGTTAAGTGAAAACCGCGCTAAGTGAACAACAGAACATATGGGATTAATTCCAATAGAAACTGGCCCGATCCCCAAACTCCACTTTTTCCGACACAATACCTATGTTCTAGTAAAAATAACATCTTAATATTATGATGGTACATGCACACAATTAATACTTAAGAGAAATAGAGAAATACAGTCGCCAAGTTAATGTCCATTCAAATAATGGACTCAACTCCCTCCCCCTCTTCTCACACTACACTGCTGGCTCATCCCTCTCTGAGAAATTTTGGGGGGAAAACCACTAAATTTTAATAAATAATACCACAAACTAAAGTTAGGATAATACAATTGACATTGCTGGATTCCTTGTAAGACCAGGAATATTTTGAATATAAATGTCATATATTTTGCACAAAAGATAACATATTTACTGAGAGTAAACATTATATCTAAAATTTGTATGTCTAATGCAAAATCTATGATGTTTATATTCAAAATGATCACCAAATTGTAAGAATTCCAGCAATGTAAATTATATTCTGGCCGGGTAATTTGTATGAATTTTATGAGCTAAAAAAAATATCTTCAGTTAATAAAAAAAAAAATATTCTTCAAGACACTATCTGTCAATCAAAGTACCCCACCTTGCCTCCCCCCTCCCTCTTCCAACCGCGCGGTCAGTCCCAACCCTCCCCCCCATCCCCCACCAATCTTCCCTTCAAGAGATGTTGGGTGAAAAAAATAAATTTTAACATTTTGTATTAAGTACAGTAATACCTCAGATTAAAGTTAGGATAATATAATTGACATTGCTGGATTCCTTGTAAGACCAGGAATATTTTGAATACAAATGTCATATATTTTGCACAAAAAATAACATATTTACTCAGAGTAAACATTATATCTAAAATTTGTATGTCTAATGCAAAATCTATGATGTTTATATTCAAAATGATCACCAAATTGTAAGAATTCCAGCAATGTAATTATATTCTGACCGGGTTATTTGTATGAATTTTATGAGCTAAAACAAATATCTTCAGTTAATAAAAAAAAAAAAATATTCTTCACACAGTAACAGATGGTCGGTTGGTCCCTCACTCCCCCCCACCAACCTTGTCCCTACCAGATGTGTGGGAAAACCAGAATATTTACCTTTTTAGTAATAAATAATACCTCAAACTAAAGTTAGGATAATATAATTGACATTGCTGGATTCCTTGTAAGACCAGGAATATTTTGAATACAAATGTCATATATTTTGCACAAAAAATAACATATTTACTCAGAGTAAACATTATATCTAAAATTTGTATGTCTAATGCAAAATCTATGATGTTTATATTCAAAATGATCATCAAATTGTAAGAATTCCAGCAATGTAAATTATATTCTGACCGGGTAATTTGTATGAATTTTATGAGCTAAAACAAATATCTTCAGTTAATAAAAAAAAAAATATTCTTCACACAGTAACAGATGGTCGGTCGGTCCCTCCCTCCCCCCCACCCCCCACCAACCCTCCCTACCAGATGTGTGGGAAAACCAGAATATTTACCTTTTTAGTAATAAATAATACCTCAAACTAAAGTTAGGATAATATAATTGACATTGCTGGATTCCTTGTAAGACCAGGAATATTTTGAATACAAATGTCATATATTTTGCACAAAAAATAACATATTTACTCAGAGTAAACATTATATCTAAAATTTGTATGTCTTATGCAAAATCTATGATGTTTATATTCAAAATGATCATCATATTGTAAGAATTCCAGCAATGTAAATTATATTCTGGCCGGGTAATTTGTATGAATTTTATGAGCTAAAACAGGCAGTCAGGCAGGGTGGCGGGTGGGGGGTGGGGCGAATCTAAAAATAGCTCTCGAGCCGGACACTTACCGCGTATACCTGGAAAAAACCCGTGTTGAGTGAAAGTTAGGCTCTGGCGAGGCACCGCGAATATGGTAAAACGCGCTAAGCGAAACCGCGTTAAGCGGGGTAATACTGTATTATTATTATTATCATTATTATTTTATTATTTTATTTTTTATTAGAAATTTTCTTTACTATGAATTATTATTATTATTTATTATTATTATCACATTTTTGCCCCCAGGCCCCGATGTGGGTCAGTGACCTGTGCCCAGGTGGGCTAATCCCCATAAAAAATTGAGAATGTGATAATGCTAGTACAGTATCAAACACATGTTGCACTTGGTTAAAAATTGGTCAATTAATTTATGACCACTTGACAGCCAAAATTTAATACACCCTGTAGTCACATCTTTATTATAAAGTAAAAGTATTGGCCTTACCTGTAGCCTCCTCTAAGCCCTGCACCTTCAGCAAGGATGAGCTCTAATTCAGGAGTGGCTCCACCAGTGATCAGGGAGCGGATGAGTGTGAGGGCGTTCTGGTTGAAGTATGTCTACAAAGGTAATACGTATATCTTTATTTAGTACAGTACCTGAACACTGTATTTTCTAAATATTGATTAAGTAGAATATATCTGACCAAATACGAAAATTTAATACAGTACCATATATGCATACTGTGCATTACATATTCTGTAATGCACTGATTGGCAATTGAAACATGTTTATGGCTGCACTATTCCAGTATATCTGCTCTTTTTTGTTATTAATGCAGTTATCTGATTGTTAATGCCAAGGGATATCAAGGGATAAAGGGTGTTTAGTTTTGAAGTAGTAACCACACTGTTCAAATTCTTGGGTGCACTTGTGATTTAATTATTAGACATATCAACAGTGCCTAAGATATTAATAAATATAATGTACTGCATAGAATAAAAAAAATTCTGGAGTGGAGAAAAAAATAAATAAATAAATTTAGGTCTAAAAATAAATTGTCAATATAAGAAGGAAATGACAAAACATGGATCTATAATGTTATGTATGACAGCATATGAATGAATGTGACTGAGGAAGGTCAGAAATTATAAACACAAAGTTTTCAGAAATCTGGAAGAGCATAAACTAAAGCTGAGGAAGGAACGTGAATACAATAACAACACCAGTGAAGGAGGTGAGGAACCAATCTTGCCAATTTGCCCAACATTTTCTTGCGTTGTCAGTGAAAAAAACAACAAATTTCTTTGTGTATCTCTCCTATCGATTATTCTGGCCAGGTTCAAGCTCAGCCAATCATCCTGGTATACAAAATAAAGTACAGTGCCCCTCTTTTTATGAAGGGCATCAACTGCTACTCTTTAATTCATTATAAATACCTAAGAGCTCTCTTTTGGCTGAAAAGATATATTTTGGAGTAAAAATTCAGGCTTACCATTAAACCTATACTGTACAGTATATAGGGGCATGTTAATAAGAACCTCAGAGGTCTACAGATATGGACTAGAGTTCACAAATAAGAAACTACCTTCAATGATCTGGGAGGAACAATCAGAACTTTTGCAATGGAATAATAGAGTTGATCCACTTCAAAGATGACAACTGGAAGCTCCAGGAACATGAAAAATCCTGAACACACATCTGGCTATGTGTGAAAACTAAGTACAGTAACTTGCTTTTGTCATACAAATGTTAAAAATTCCCCAAAAACAACAAAATCTGACTGATCAGGAGCAAAATGCGACGGAATTGAGGAATATACCAATGAAGACTGAGTTTGACAATGAAATATAGGACTGTCAAATGTCTTTGTACCACAAATCTGGAAATAGGATAATATGATCTCCCACTCGGATGCAATAAGAACCTGTGATCATACACTTAGTTTCAAAGGTTACAGTATACTGTACTCTCGATTTAACGGAATCGGATATATCAAACTCTCGATTTAGCGGAGGGAATTTTTTAAAATTATTTTTCGCTCAATTTAATGAACTAGTTTGCTAAATCAAGCAAAAATAACAAATTTTAATTTAGCAGAAAATTAATGGAATCATACTGGATTTAGTGAACTAGTTCGCTAAATCGAGCAAAAATAACGGAAACTTCGATTTAGCAAAAATTTTGATTTAACGGAGAGGGGTGGCTCGAATTAGTTCGTTATTTCGAGAAAAGAAGTTTTTTTCAAAAATCCAGTTTTTATGATTTGGTAATGCGACGTTTAGCTTTCTTAGTGATCCTTCCGGACACTGACCTTCCGGTCCTACTAGCAATCTAGAGTTATGTTGTTCTCTTCCTGTATTCCCTACAAAATTGTCAAATGGGTGAAAATCCAAAGAAGCAAAAACTATGACACTTCCTATTGTAAATAGTGAACAGAATATGATCTCTGACAACAAGAGAGAGGAGCCCAAGTTTAATAGTAACCTCATGAGATGAAGAAGGTGAGTAATTCCTATTATCAACTGCCTCACTTTCAGAGAACATTGCTTCAATTTTGGTTCACTGGAAAAGGAGCAATTTTGCAACAGCACTTGTTGTGCAAAATAGGCTGCCAACATAACATCCCCCCCCCCCCTCCCCTTCCGACCATGGTGGGTATAAGTAGGAAAGTTCTTGGGGTGGTTCACTGATCAATTTTTGACAATTAGCAAAATATATAAAGAGGATAAAGGTAGAAGATGTTTGAAGAGCAAACTTACCGTGGACATTAGAGAATCAAGGACAGAGACAGCAAAGGCAGTACCACAAGCAAAAGGTTGAGTCAAGTAGAGCTCAGTGTCTGGGTCATCATCATCATCTTGGTCAAGGAACTGCACATTGCTGTCATTTATCAATTCTGTGATCATAGGGACATTAGCACCATAGACGGAGCCACGCCGTTGTAGTACAATAGGTGACCCAAGAGGACTCAATGTGTCACCACCACCACTTGGGTCTGTTGGACCAAGCAAAATAATACAAGTTATAAATTAGAGAGTAACAGTGCAAATTGCTAGAATAATATGATTACAGTAAACTCCCCCTAATCCAAACTAATTGAGAGAAAGGCCTGTCTAGTATGGCCAAAATTCTAGGTTGGGTGGGGGTCTGTACTGTCTATATTGCAGGGTGGAAAATCCTAGAGGGTAGGGGATTACCGACTCAAGCTACATAAGAACACTGAACCTACTGTAATTATTATCCTAGACTTAACACCCTCAGGGACTTTATATGCCATATGAATTTTTTTTAAACACTTAGGGTTTTAACATTTGTGAAAAAAAAATCCTTGGTCTCTAATACACTCTTGGCAGCTTGTCATTGGCTCTCAGAGGTGTACTTCGTGAGTCACCAAGCGGCTGGTGTTGCCAGGGCCTCTCATACGTGTGGCAGCAGTGTGTACTGTTTCAGCTATGATAATCAGTTCCATTCAAGCCTCACACCCAAAAAATACATCCATTTGATGGTCCTTATCATATACAGTAGGTTTGTTGTTTTATATAAATATTTATTTAAACAAATGTGTAGATAAATTATTCAGGATTATTTTGGTATAAATGTGGCATTTCTAACTTAAATAGAAGTGATTTTATACACTCCTGTATAAACAATTCTTACCTTTTTCACAAAAGAATCAAATTCCTATCATTATATCGTGTCAATATATTTTGTTTATGGCCCTTTTATGCACAAGGTGTTGTAAATAATTTATTCAGGAACATTTTGGTACCAAAATCATCTTTCTAACACAATTAGAACAGATGGAGTGGATAAAAGTTCATACACTTTCGCTAGCCGTAAATATTTTTGCTTGCAGCCGCAGTCTAATATTTGAGATGTGAGAGTGATAAAGGAATCATACAAAGTGGAAAAGTATTTCATATGGTATACAGTATTAATGAACTATTATTCAAGCTATTGGAGAATTTCAGAGACCAGGGATTCTAGCTAAAGCGGAGATTACTGTATTTACAGTTATCATTTTGTTTTCCTTAAAAGAGTCAATTAATATTTCTGCTCTCTCATTTCTATTACCCAACCCATGTGGTCCTACTTCTGGTGCCTCTTTCCCTTTCCAAACTTCTGTGTTAAAATCACCCATTATAATCAGACATTCATTAAACTTCATGGTATCTTTTGCTTTCTTTAAATCTCCATACAATTTTTTAAGACTTCATCCACACTTCAGTTTGTTGGTCCCATAAACTATTAATATTACCAAATCCATGGGTTTAGGATTAAACTTGACTAACAAAACTCTATCTGACTGCCCAATATTTTTACTTTACTGCTCAACTTCTGGTTTACAAGAATACCAACTCTTCTCTCATGCTTTTTACCACTAGAATATATGAAGTAAAAATCTTCACCACTAATGCTCTTTGAACCTGTCCATCTTACTTCACTTAATCCCAGAATGCTCCACTGCAGTCTTTTCATTTATCTACAAACATTTGCATACTTACCAGCTTCATATTATGTCCTAACATTCCATGTCCCATCCAATCTTGATTTTATGCATGTTCATTCTTAATGTTTACATCATGTTTAATGTCTAAAACTTTGTTTTGCTCAGACAGTACTTGCTTTGTTTTGCTCAGACAGTACTTGTTAGCTCTTGGTGGCATACTGCCCGCAAGCACAGGAGGCAATGTGGTTGGACCTTTAGGTGGTAATAATCCAACAGTAACAACCAAAAATCTTTCATTATGTCTGTCCACGGTTGTTCAAGTGTTCGAGGGCAACAGATGAAGTTAATGAGAATCGATGCCCCAAACCTTTTCTCATCAGAAAATTAATTAAAGGCAGTAGAAAAAGTTGGGAATGAACTATGCGGTGTAGAGGTCTCTCATACCTCACTCTGATAAAGAACCAGTCCATCACCTGTGGAATTTGCATGTTTCGTGATGATCCACTTTCAACCTCCTCATCTGAGGTTGCAAGATGGGAACTTTATACCCATCCCAGGTAACCACTATAATTAAGTCCATGTTAATAAATCCTACCTTCTGAAACTGTATTAATGAATCGACAAACAGTCACACATACAGTAAAGATCTTCACATAATCCATAAAAAAAAATTTGAATCAGATAAATAAAAATATTTTCAACTCCACAAAAACAATCATTCTAGAAACTTATAAAAACATTTCACATACTCTGGTTGAGAACGCCTATGGTGTCATCAAAAGTCATGGCTTTGATGTTGAGTGAGGCAAGGATGGCTTCTTTATCAGCTAATGTTGGATCATCATTACTGGGAACTTTTGCGCTCAAGATGACGCACATGTCACACAGGTTGACATTAACGGCTCTTAAGTCTGCTCTACTGAGTGGAGAACCCTGTTGATCAGAAATTTCAATTACAACTACTGTAGAACATAAATAGGTGAAACAATAAATTGTTAGAAAATATGTACTGTATAATTAATTTTAGAAGGACGATACAGTGTATGTATTAGTGAACTTTGAACCTGCTTACCAAGGCCACTACAAATTGAGGTTTAAGGTTTGAAATCCTGTTTTATGACTGAGGAGATGAATAAATTGCCTACAAGAAACAGACTACCATAGAGTGTCCTTGGGCAGACCCTGCTAGTACAGTATTCAGGAAGTGTGTAATGCTCCAAAGTAAGTACATTATCCACATGCATAATATTTTACTGTACATGAAACATCTACAATTTTTCTCACTCAAAACAACTATCGCATTTGAATTTGAATTTACATTCAACTATTGCCTTGAGGACCTGTGAATCACTAGGTGAGGAGTTATCTAGATCCTTAGGTTCAAAGCCAGTACCATGAGCCTCAACTTGATCAAATAGGAAATCTATCATCTTCTATCACCTCTTATATCAGGTGCTCATATGTTTTTTAATCTTTATGACTTGATATCATTCAAGATACAGTATAAGTTGTATCTGTGAAACTTGGTTACTGATAATGATAAAAAAAAAGATTATTTGATCAAGTTGGAATTTGTGTGGAGAGAAGCTGAGAGTGAATGACTCCTGACCTGGCTGACCTGACTCCAAGTTCAAATTCAGTTTCAGTAGTTCAAGTACCAGACCATCTATATGGCATCCAGGAAACAGGATTTACCAGAAATCCAATTGTTTCTCAACCTGGTTAGTTTTGAAACTTGCAGGTTTGGCTGGCCAATTTGTTTTGCTTTTGGTAACGCCATGGTACATACCTCAGTTTTAAGAAGCTGAATTCTGTGTGAACTTGTCTCTCTCTACTTTTTGTGGTTATTTACCTCAATTTGTTATCATTATCATCTATTAAATCTAAAAGGCTAGCAGGAATTACACTTGCTAATGGAAAGTTCAAAATAATTTTTTCGCTCCAAGAACAATGCATCGCCATAGTGTTTATTTGCTTGTCATGATAGGTGATTCTCCCTTCTCTCTCTCACCAGCAATTTTACGAGTGGTTTGTGACAGTCTACTTACTGCCTAAGCAGTCAGTACTCAAGAATAACATATGAGTAGTGTGAAGAGCATTTAATATCTAGACTGGTGCCTGCACTTCGGCACCTCAACTACCCTGAGAGATTGGAGCGCCTGATCTTGCCTAGCTTATACTACAGACAGGCAAGGGGCGACCTAATTGAGGTGTATAAGCATCTCAAGAGGCACTATTCAGTTGAGTGTCCTTACTTGGAGCTGGAGGACGCTCACCCCACAAGGGATCACAGCTCAAGATTGAAGAAGCTGCAGGTCCAGAAAACTGTGAGGGCAAACTTTTTTGGAGTGAGAGTTACAAACTCTTGGAACAATATACCGGAAAGTGTTGTGAAAGCACCGAGTGTGAGCTCTTTCAAGACCAGACTTGACCAACACTGGAGCAGGTTCATGTCCAGTACTTGCCAACAGTGTGTAACAGAGACGTGGCCGATCGCCCAAGCGACTAACGAGATCAGTGGTGAAGAGGATAAAAGTAAAGTAAAAGTAAACGTAAAGTAATCATTATAAGTAATAATACAGCTCCCCATAACACACATTGCCAGTCAGCTGTTGTCTGTGAGATGGCTACATGCACTGCCATTGTTACATGCACAGAAACTATAAAAGTTATAGAATAATTATTTTAATACTCTACCGTGACTTGAAAGTAAAGAAAATATACTATAAGACTATACAGTTTATGAAAAATGAAGAGCATGGGTGGTTATTCTTTTGTTGTTACTGTATAATGTTATTACTGTTACGAACGTGTTACGTTCCTGGACCCTGTTTGTAAATCGATCTGTTCATAATCGAAACATTGTTATTTTCAAATTTTAGGTTATGTTAAATCACAACCCTACCTATATAAAACAGCCATAATATCCCATACATAACAAATAATATAAATAAAGTGATGTTAAACAATACAGAACAATGAATGTATTGTACTGTAATGAAAAAATGGGATTTGAGTTACAGATTTTTGTCAGGCGTTCATAACTCGGAAAATACCTGTGTGTTGTGTGTGTGTGTGTGTATAATATATATATATATATATATATATATATATATATATATATATATATATATATATATATATATATATATATATATATATATATATATATATATATATATATATATATATATATACGTACTGTATATATATATATACATGTATTCACAAACACGCACACACTGGGCTTAAGACCAGAAATCCACCAAATCCAGGAAACCAGTTCACCTTAAGTCCCAAGCTTGCCGATTAAATGGTTAGGTACAGTACCTGTTGTTTCAATTGAGTACCAAAAGTTACAGGCATTTCATTTGCAGCAAAACATAATCCATATGGATACTGCATCTACCACAGAATATTATACTCTTTTTTGGTACAGTTCTGTCAATCTCTGCCCAATGGTGTTCTCTAGTGGTGTATCACTTTTATGTCACTTGTGAAGCTCCAGAGACCATTAATTACGATAAAAAGAGAAAGATGCAGCCATGTATGGCACAGTGATCATAATATTAATTTTAAAATGGCCCCAGTTTGTTAATTACATGCGTTAAATATTCCTGCAGGAAGTAACAAGCAAACTACCCAACTGGCTAGTAAGCTGACAAATGCTAAAGAGGATATTATGTAAGTGTTTTTGTGTGTTAGTGTTGGCCTCCTTTCCCTTAATAAGTCTGGTCATTACATAAAAAAAAAGGTATCTTGTACACTGAAAATTGTCCTGGCTAGTCAAAAGTTATTTTGTTAAAACAGATGGAAGTAGTATTGTAACTAGGTACTGTACTATTACAAACAGCAGTGTAAAAATGAAAATACAGTATTACAGTTTACTGTTTTGTGATATTATCAATTATGGAAACTGCATCAGTGAAAGGCACATTTTGGCACATTTTCTTTTAAGACAAATTTATGAACTTTGGAGAAAAAAGTGATAAAAAGATACGGTACAGTATTAACTTAAATTATTTGTAATAATTCTTAAGCAAAGATTAAAAACAATTTTGATAACAATATACAGTAAATCTTTAACATCACAGTGGGGTTCTCACCTCATCTCTTCATTATTCAATGGTTAAAAATACGTAACACTCCTGTGTTTGACTGTACGTAGTTACAGATCAACACTGACAGCAGTAGTCAGATAGTCGACAAAGTATTGTGTCAGTTTAGACAACTAACAGGGCAATGAATGAATGAATATGTAAGATGGTTATAATGGGGGATGATAAATCTCCACAGACCTGCATGGGTGAAAATGTAATACTCTATCAAGGTAAGGGTTTATGGAGCTCTTTGCAGGTGCAAGGATGGTAGGACAATTCTGGAGAGATTTTGTTTCCCTTGCTGTACTTATCGCAGCTAAAAGACTGACAGAGATAGAAAAATGTGTGAAATGTGTTTAATAAATTACCGTAAGCCATTTTTATACCTACCTATTTTTCTGTCTTACCTCTCACCACCACTATACTGTACTTGCATCCAGTTGGGGGGTAGATATAAAAAGAAAATGCTGCCACTCATAACCCTGAGATGGATTGTTAGTCACAAGACCCTTGCTGCCTTGACACCCAGATACTGAACCTTTCTATCTGTGCCGTCAGTATACAGTATATACCTCAGCCCTTCAAATTGGACATGAATTAAACCTTAACTTGTCTCTAAGCAGCTCTCCAATATAAAAGAAGAATGGAGAATATTGTTTGTATGTGTGTGTGTGTGTGTGTGTGTGTGTGTGTGTGTGTGTGTGTGTGTGTGTGTGTGTGTACATGTATTGCATTTCTAAACACCAGTGGTGGGCACGGTTCCGCTAATCCGCTAATTAGCTTAGCTAACTTTCTCGTTAACGGATTAGCGTTTTCGCTAACTTTGGAAACCATTAGCAGACCAATTAGTTTCCGCTAAATATAGTTCCACTAACTTTAAGTCCGCTAACAAAATTTATACATGTTTGTTCCTGTCTGTTGTAAGCTTGTGACGCCGCGACGCGTGTCTCCAACAGCCAGTCAGGCACGCTTGGCTGACTGCGTGTTAGTACGTGTAAACGTGACAAGACATGATTTGTCAACGCCGCGCCGCAGCAGCTGAGCGAATGGAATTTTTTTATTATTAAAGTTTAACACTTTTTTTTACAGTAAATAAAGACTGTCAGTGTATGTTGAAAGAATCATAGAATGTAATTGTAAACTAATGTATAATTTCATTTCTCATTTATTTGTTAATTTAATTAGGATTTTTGTGTCAATATATTTGGTTATGCTAAGTACTGCATAAGTTCATAACCAGGATGCCATCCATGGTGTGAGCCAAACAAAATTTTCTAAAAACTTACTTTTCATTAAAGTTTAGAGTTTTCTGTTTATTTACATGACTAAGACCAACAATAAGTTATATAAAAATGCATTGTATAATGTGTATGTGGTTGGTAGTGCATATTTACATGAATAATGAATAAGGCCGGTAGGTTGTATGAGAATGCAAATTAATTATTTGTGAAATTATGTACAGTGTACACCTTGATAAGTTGATCATCAATTGGTCTTGGCATGATGCTATTTGCTACCTATGCTATACAGTACTATGGTTTTTGGATTCGTTTAATACTTTCTGTCTTTTCGTACAGTAAATAAAGATTATAAAGTGTATGTTGAAACTTGAATGTAAACTATTGTTTAATTTCATTTGTTCATTTAATTATTTGTGTACACCTTGATCATCATCTGATCTTGGCATGCTATACCTTTTTGGAAAGCTCTAAGTCTAAGCTACAAGAAAACATATGAAAATTTCAGCTCTCTAGGTCTGTTTTTAAGGGTTTCAGAACCCCCTCCCCCCCCAAAATAAAGAAGCTAAATTCATATAATAAAAGTTAGCGGTTAGCGTTGACTTCCGCTTTTTTTTTAGCTGTTTAACGGTTTAGCGTTAGCAAAGTTAACTTTTTAGTTAGCAGATTAGCGGTGAGCGAAGCTAACTTTTCATTTAGCTGTGCCCACCACTGCTAAACACTGTATATAATTAGGCATTTGATTTCTTAATTTGGGGAGATATTATACATCATAACTTATTAATTAATATACAGTACTGTATAAAGGAATACAGGTATATAGTGCACAAAAGAAAAAACGAGAAATTCACATTTAGCACAGATATTTTTGGGAGGTTTTGAAGCATTTTCCATTCTCTTCTGATGTAGTCTACTGAACCAACAATAACCACATGTTTGAGCTCATGGTAATGGAAATTGGAGGCTCGGAGGGGCATCACTAAGTTCCGAAGGCCAATAAGAGGAGAATCAGGGTCAGCAAAGAGGCACACCACAACGTGGCCATTTAATACTGTCATCGCCGCTTGGTTGCGATCCTGAAAGAGACAGTAAGATATAAAATGCAGTTGCCTTTCTAGTGTGAAGAAGATGTCAGCATACTATGTTTTATTCCCATATTACTGAATATACAAGGAGTAACCCTCCTTGATATATTGACAGTTAATTACACTATACAGTATACTGTTGTCTTCATATCACATATTATCACTAATGTCACATGCATGTAACTTACTAATATACAGTCCTCCAACGATCTTGCAGGACACCAGTGGAACATTCCAGTTGAGTCATATTTCATCTCTGTTTTCTCAAAGTCAAAATCTTTTGCTTGATCATCTGCAATGCCTACTGTAAGGCCGTTGTTGGTGCCACCATTGCCTCCTCCACTGCTACGACTTGTGGGCCTGTGGGAGCAGTGAATGAGGACCTAACATTTCGAGCATGGGTCCTGGTTTTATTAGCAGGGCCTATTACTGAACTGCAACCACATCAAGCAAGTAACTTTCCCTAATACTAGAAGGGTACAGATGATTCCATATTTTCTACAACACTAAACTTAAACTATGTTCCTAGAGGACCTCATGTTCATTTATTTAAGAAATTCTGAGAAACCTCACAACTTACTTGAAACCATTCGGGCCCAAACTTAGAGGGTTATATTACTCCAAGTTGGGAAAATGAACCATTCATAACTAAAATGCAACATAAATTGGTGACAAACAACACAATAACATGTTACAAAAAATGCTATACTGTACTGTATAATGTACAAAGTTTCCAGGCAATTACATATTACAATCTGATAAACAGTGAAGACCTTGAGGAATGGTTTCAATGAGCATATACGGTATCAGATAATGATGAGTTTTTCAAAAGTACTACAAGCACTATGTGAACACCAGTAGAATATATTATGACACAATCACTTATTTAATTTCTATCATTTAGTACTCATCTTGACGAGCAAACAGCTGACACTAACACATGTAAATAAAAGATGAGTTATGAGCAATTACTCTTAGAAGTTACAGACTGAAAACTTTTTGAATGATATTATTTAATTTTGTGTTAATCTATTAATAATTTATAAAACAACAAGCATGTATAATGCAGTGTTCAGGCAGAAGAGGCAAGTGACACTAAAGAGGATTTAGTTACTTACAGTTACCACAGACATATGATCCAGCTTCATGAATACTTTATAATGCGGAGATGAGCTTCAGTTTTACTATGCTTTCAAGTTATTACAAACACCTCGTCTTTGTTCAGAAAATATTTCATTGGACAGTTGTGGAATTAATAGCTTTTGCAAACTCAAAGGGGTTTAAGGAAGACCTACTGTATACTGCATGGGAAGTTCATAAGCTTACTGGATCATCTGCCCATGTGAGACTTGCAGCTACACACATACACATACTGTACAGACACCAATGCCTACTGAGGGACAATTATGAAGATAGAGCAATCATGCTTCACTTTACCATATTTTGATAAAAAAAAAAATATATACAGTATATATATATATATATATATATATATATATATATATATATATATATATATATATATATATATATATAGCAGTAGACTCTGCTATATTTCACAGGCTTTGTGAAATATAACAGAGTTCAGGACTGCTTTTAGTATCCTGGTGGTCCAGCGGTTAGCTGCCTCGTCACAGTCATGGGCTCTGGGCCATGGGTTCGAGTCCCATGGTTGAGGTGTTGATATATATATATATATATATATATATATATATATATATATATATATATATATATATATATATATATATATATATATATATTTTCTTCTTCATAAAAGTATGTAAAACAAATTAAAAATACCCCCTTTACAATGTGGCATGATTTGATCACAGTACAGTACTTTAGTAATGACTGGTGAAGAAATTTTAGGATGGCACAGAAAATATTTTCAGCAATTGAGTGAATACTATTGAATTATAGGGTGTAATTCATGTGAAATTGATATTCTAGTTATAAGAATATCATATTCACAGCTCAAGCCACAGAAAGAGGGTGCTATCTGAAGCATAAGTAATGACAGAATGCAATGACACCAGAGAGGTGAGCTAATTGTCGTGCTGGAAAGAAAAGATCAACAGGTCAGGTCAGGTCACCGAAAGGGCATCATGCTCACTAACAGTGAGACTCTGATCTGATATATGCTGTGCAGTTACTATGTCTGTGAATAAAAGTGTGATAATGATGGTAACAGAATGCATGAGTGTCATCATGCGGGTAAATGCAGGCAAGGGGTTAAGGCAGTGAGATGAGGCAGATGCCTCAGAGGCGTGGCCACACTGCCCAGGCATAATTTGACCATTGTACTTTTCATTTAGGCAGGGGTTTACTACACCACTAACCAGAATTTGGATTTAAAATTTACTGGTCTATTCTTGCTATGCTGGCTACATACATTACTGTATATGTGTCTGGGTAATAATGTCACATAAAATAGCACAACATTATGAGACTATGGCACAGTTGCCATTAGTCTTTATGGTTGAGGAGGAGTATGACTCCCTGTGCCACGGTGCGGGCCCCTAGACGCCCCAGTCTGGCACCCACATAGCACCTGGCAGTCTAGTGGCACCAGGGCAGTGGCGTCACAGAGGCCACGCCAGGGAAGGAGTGCCACAAACCAAGAGGGTGACAGTGGAGGGACATGACTCAAGCTACAACAGGAGGGAGCGCTACATGGAAACGTGAGGGGAGGGTGCGTACATGAGTTTCTTGACCTCGTAGCTGAGGTGATAGCTGTACGTGTTGTCCTCTGTCAGCCTGCAAGTAACAAGAAGACAGCGTGAGCGGTCAGCCCGTGAGGAGCGCGCGTGGGACCCGTGTGTGACTGTCACAGACACAGACAGATAGACAGAGTGGCTGGTGAGTGTCGGGCAGTGATACTCCTCAGGACAAGGTTAGTGAAAAAAGTGACAAGGTGAAGAAGTGCTGCAAGTTTATTGTGATGGTGAGGTTACTGACAGCAGTGAAAACTCAGCAGTGGGAAAAAAAAAGGTTTCTAAGGAAGTAGACATAGATGAAAATTAAGGAAAAATCTTGGTATGGAAGCTTGGTAAGGGAAACTACTGGTAACACAGAAGGTATAAGAGGAGGGATGAGTAAAGATGAAATTTGAGTAGAGAGAGAAATACTAAATATTGATATGTATTATGGTTGGCGAATGAGATATCCTAGCTGATATTAATACCAAAGTGTGAAATATTGGCAAAAGATTAAAAGTTTGATATAAAAATGGTTAAACAAATGAATATAATTAAGTAAAGTGATGGCAGTGGTGCAAATGGGTGTCAGACACTGTTGGGGTGAGCAGACAATCAGCAGAAGTTAACTGTAGTCTTTCATAAGATCAAGATAATTACATTTAAATAAATCAATATCAATTTCCTGACAAGAATAAATTCCCAGAGAGGAAGAGTAACACCAAGAGGTGATACAAGCATATTGGCCAACATTCCAGTGCTTTGATTTGCCACTGTCTACAAAAGCATGTGAATGTTGCAAAGATGATATCAGTATATAGCAGTGTTCCAATGAGCCTTAAACTACAATACCCAAACATTACTGGTCACTTAAATGGATATGTGGTGTTGATCTACTGTACAATATGTTCTCAATAAAGTTCTCAATGTCTATCATGGACTTATGGTTCATATCTTCAAAGTGAAAAGCAAAAATGGAGGTAGATGAGTCTTTTTGTTAAAGGCACAGAGTATAATTAATTAATCCTGAATAATAACAAGTGTAAGAATGATAAAGTAACTGCAAATACATGGATCAGTACTGTATTCAGTATATATATCTTTAACAGATACTATATATATATATATATATATATATATATATATATATATATATATATATATATATATATATATATATATATATATATATATATATATATATATATATATATATATATATATATATATATACAGGTTAAATTTCTAGTCCCGCATTCTGTGGTCTGGAAACTCCCGTGGTCCGGAACGATTTTAGTTTGTCCAATAGGTAGATTGCAGCTTTTTTTTTTTTTACTTATCTGAATTATTATTATTATTACAGGAGTATTAAATATTTGCCCTCAGGGCCCAAATGGGTTGGTGACCTATGCCCGGGTGGGTTAATCCCAGAAAAAAAAACCCGCGGGAAATTAAGGTTTGTTTTGTTTATATCCGGCAGCTCGGCTGCTCTCTCTCTCTCTCTCTCTCTGCTTGTCTATACAGAATACAACATTTAACCTTTCAATATATATGAGTAGTAAATAAGTGTTGCTTTCATATTCTGATGTAGAGTAATGACGATATGTTTTCACATGTGCGCACTTACATACGCGCAGTCTCACTTTTTTTTTACCATTAATGGTTAGCTACTTATATTGTTCCATTTATTAACATTAAATAACTTTACAGGTACTTCAAACAACCATATTAATTTTTTTTACATTAATTTTACTACAGCTACAATCAGGGTCTTATTTTCTTCAATTTTATATATATATATATATATATATATATATATATATATATATATATTATATATATATATATATATATATATATATATATATATATATATATATATATATATATATATATATATATATATATATATATATATATATATATATATATATATATACACAGTGGTCCCTCAGTTAAAGAACGGTTTGATTAACGAAATTTCGGTTAACAAATTACCTCCCATAAGGATCTTCAATTCGGTTAACGAACAAAACTTCAATTAACGAAATCCTTACGACAAACACGTTTTGTTGTGAGCATCAGCTGATGGGCTAGTCTGCCAATTCAGTAATCTGTTCTATGTTTACATTCGTTTCCAGTGGAGTAAATATCAAGAAAATTGTGCTCTTTAATATTTGTGCATTTTTTATCCTAAAATTATGGGTCATTCTAAAATTTAGCCATCCAAGCTCTGTCTACATAAAGTTTTTCAACTATTATTTTTGGCTCGATATATGTAACTTTATTCATTTATTGAAACTCATTTACATGCACACAATGTCCAAAGGGCAAAGCTGTACTGTACATGTAATCAAAATAATGTACAAAATGATGACTAAAATTTTTGTCTAGTGCAAACTATAGAATGTTTACATTCAAATTAATCACTATCTCATAAGAATTCCAGCAATGTAAATTATATTCTCCCCGGTCACTTCTATGACATTTAAAAAAAATAAAAACCAAATGGGCATAAATAAACAAATTTACAAATACTAAATACTTCACTAGACCTTGGCGCTAACTGTCAAACATGTCACTGTCACTCTTCCCTCCCTCCCCCCCTCCCAGCAAGGGTTTGGTGATTATACAGTAGGCTTACAGTTTTTATCTTATATAATATCACAGACTAAAGTTAGGAGAATATAATTTGCATTGTTGGAATCCTTGCAAGACAGTGAATAATGTAAATATAAACGTCATATATTTTGCACAAGAGATAAAAATTTTAGTACATTAGTGTAGTACATTTCAATAATATAGTTTTCAACTGTATTTTTGGGTAGATTTACATAAATTTCTTCATTTATTTTCATTCATTTACATGCACACACCATACTAAAAGAAACGTAAAAGAAATAAATTACCTAAGTGCAAACCTGTACTGTACATGTACTAAATGAATACAGTACTAAAATTGATATGTCTAGTGCAAATTACAGAAGTTAACACATGGTGATATAAAGGATGCCATTGAGTTTGTCGAGAAACTCAAGCTCATCCTTTCCAAAGACCCTCTCAATCCGATATGAAGTCTCCAATAACCATCTAGACCAAACTATGGAGCCATATATCAAGATGTATCATGACCACATCAACGCTAGCCGTCAGCGTAACATCACCGACTTCTTCGCCCGCAACCCACAACAGCCAGCCCAAGTCCGTGATAGTGACAGTGATGGTGACTTTGAGGGGTTTGTCAGGGAGGCCCTGACAACTATGGTGGATAGTGATATTGATTCACCTGAGGGCCACTAATCTGCCCTCTGCCTCAGAACCAGCCCCCATCCCCGTATGCCAACCCATCTCTTCTACTAACGTAAGTGTTAAACCTTGATTTTTCTTTTACCTGATACAGTATATTATTCTCTTATTGATATTTCTCTTCTATATTATGTGTGTGTGCATACCATCATAAAATTAAGATAAAATTTGTACTACAACGTATGTATTGTGTAGGAAAAAGTGGAGTTTGGGGGTTGACCCAGTCTCTATTTCAATTAATCCCATATGATCTGTTATTTCGTTGACGCGTTTCTTGTTTTACGCGGACATCCACGGGTTCAATTGACCGCATAAATGCAGACTGTACTGTATATTATATATATATATATATATATATATATATATATATATATATATATATATATATATATATATACACAGTATTACCCGCCTAAGCGGTTTCAATTTAACATGACAAGTTCCTGCCAAGCTAAACCTCACTCACATATGGTAAGTGTCCTGCCCAAAACGCTATTTTTATTTACCCCACCCGCCCACCCTACCTGACTGCCTGCTTAAGTCATAAAAATTCATACAATAGAATTTTACATTGCTAAATTCTTATAATTTCTATATCATTTTGAATATAAACATCATATATTTGCATTAACATACAAATTTAGATAAAAATACTGGTAATATATTTATCTTTTTTAAAAAATATATGATATTACATTCAAATATTCCTGAACACAATGAATCCAGCAATGTCAATTATACACATCCCAACCTTTAGTTTGATAATATTTATTACAAAAAGCTAAGATTCTGCCTTCCCACACATCTCCTTGGGACGGTTGGTGGGGGGTGGGAGGAGGCAACCAACCAATCTGTTCCACCTGTAGAATATTTTTTATTTATTAACTGAAGATATTTGTTTTATCTCATAAAATTCATACAATTACCTATCAATATACACTATATTCTGGAATTACTGATAATCATTTTAGAATACAAACATCATATATTTTGCATTAGACATAAAATTTTAGATAAAATGTTTAATCTGGAGGGAGGTATGTTATCTTGTGCAAAAATATGGCGATATTTTGATATTCAAAATATTCCTATCTTACATGAACTAGCAATGCCTAAATTATATTATCCAGTATCTTAACTGAGGTTATTTTAATAAATTAATAAAACGAATTTTTTAACTTTTCAAGTGGGAGGTAAAAGAGGCTGGGACTAAATCAAGAATAGGGAGTGCAGTACTTTTGATTATGATATAATAAATATTTTTTTTTTTATTAACTGAAGATATTTGTTTTAGCCCAAAAATTCATACAAATTACCCGGCCAGAATATAATTTATATTGCTGGAATTTCTTATAATTTGAGATTATTTTGAATATAAACATCATATATTTTGCATTAGATGCCAAATTTTAGATAAAAATTTTTCCAAGAATCATATATCTTCAAAAAGATATATATTTTATTCAAAAATGATTTCTGCCTTACAAGGAATCCAGCAATGTCAATTTTATTATCCTTAACTTTTTAGTTTGAGTGGTTATTTATTAAAATTTAGCGTTTTCCCAGCAACTTTAATGACACAACTTGGCGACTGTATTACAACATGTTCAATTCCCATATAAATTTGTTCACTTAACTTCCTGATATAAGAAATTGCATTTTAATTTAACCTTATGTTATGAAAAACTGTGTTAAGTGAACAATGAAAACATAGTGGGATTAATTCAATAACTGTCAATTTCAACCTCACCAGATGACAAATAACTATGTTAGAAGAGAAATAACATTCAATTTTTTATGATGGTATAATACTAATATTAAGAGAAAGGATGTAGTTTGATGATTTAATTTTCCTCCTCACACAGCAATATTAAATAGTTGACAGATGGTCGCAGGCCTGTCCCTCCCTCTCT